TTTCCCTCTATTAGTAGACCCCCTCCTTGCCCCGTGGACGTAGACAGTTTGCCGAACCACGAAAATTGGTTTGTTTGAGTTTGTGGCCATTGTAATAGTTTTTAGGATCCCTCGACGCGCAGTCCTAGAGTTGACGAGAGGAAGAGCTAATATCCCACTTTGATGGGATATTAGGCTTTCAGATTCTTGTTCCCTTTGAGAAACAAGAATTCTTATCGATCTTTCTCTCTTATTGTGCACCAGAAACTCTGCCGAAATTTCCGCTGCGCACAACAAATATAACAACTTACCTTGTAAACTGGGCCGAATCCACCTTCCCCAAGTTTGTTTTCTGTTGAGAAATTGTCTGTTGCAGAAATTACAATATCCAGACCATACAGTGGCAGTTCTATGTCTTCATCTTCAATACTTTCTTCTTTCAAGTTCTCTGCAAAGACACTATTTGATATGAATTAACAATATGCAAGAATTATTTAGTATATTTTATGATGCTGATTGTGTCGTTAATAGTACCTCTCCTCCATTTTTCCTTCTTTCTCCAAACGCAACAACTAATACAAGCAAGCATCAGCGCCCCCAAAACAAGACTCACTATGATTGCGATTGTTGCCTTACTCTTGTTGTGTGACTTGTCCGTTGAAGGAACCGCAGCTGTTAAACCACCAAATATCTTAACAGTTATATTTTTCCGGGCCTACCAGTCTATATTCATTTAAATGATAATGCAAGATATTAAAAGATTAGAAAAGAATCCACTTTTAATAAACTTATGCAGTCAGTAGAGGAAAGAACTTGTTAGAATGGTGTGAAGTGTATTTAAAAAATGGGGAAAAAATTATCCGGAACCTTTTCTTTAAATATGCGCAATCAGTGACAACTACGGTCACCTGTTGCATATTGAAATGAAAGTTGTGAATTAACATTATGTACATAATTTAAGTCAATGACAATGATAGTCAATTCAGGAATTTTTGGCGTTCCAATCTGCCGTGATTTAAATAAGAAGTCAAGATGCTTAACGAGTGTTCTAAATAGCTCTTTATTTTCATAAGTATTCTTGAGAAAGGAAAAGGTCAAGATTGTCCTGCCACGCTCATCTGTGTTATTTTTCCAACCCATGGGCATCAACTGATCCAAAATTCTCGTTTATATAGATAACAAGAAACCTAAAAGCTTAATAATTTACACTGGTAACAGGATTCTCTGGTGTGTATTGCGGCGAATTGGAGAGATATTGAGCTGCTCTAGTTTGCAATGCAGTCACACCATAGAAGGTTTAAATTTTGACTAGACTGTTCTATTTGACACAAATCTGTTTATGATTGTGACTTTTTCCCTTTTTAGGGCTTTTTTGTTTTTAGGTCCATTTGTTTACCTAGCTTTATCTTTAAACCCAAGAATTATTAGGTGTATCTTTAAACCAAACTTTTTTTTTGTATTTATCTTTAAACTCAATTCCAAAATATAATACTCTCATATGTGGGTCCTCCCATATAAGGAAATTGGGTTTACAGATAAATACAAAAAGAAAGTTGGGTTTAAATATACAACTTATAATACTTGGATTTAAAGATAAAACTAGGTAAACAAATGGACCTAAAAACAAAAAACCCTTTTTTTTAATGACAGTGTGACTTCCTTATGGTGGACCTATTCCTGTTCAAAGGTTTGAAACATCAACAGTGAACAGTGCTATGACTCCAATTAGTTTGGTTCCGATATAAGAAAAATGGATACTATCAAGATCACTAATTCCTAACGGATTATGACTGTTGGTTGTTTTGTTGGCCCAATAAGTTGGCCCATTCCACTAAATGCCCAGCTCCCCCACTTGTGCCCTAGCCCCTCTATTTTCCCTCACCTACCCGATGGTTCTCACCTCCTCCTAAGTCTTCGCGATCTCTGGAAGTCTTCGCGATCTCTGGATTTGATGGCCGCCGCTGTGATTTCATCCCTAGGTCGGCTCCCTCCTTCGTTTTCTTCCCTAGCTCCTCTCCCTTGTCGGCTGCCCCCATCCCTATATATGGGTAATGGGTTGGTAGTAGCTTGGGAGAGCCGCCGGACAGCCGCCGGACAGCCGCCGGACAGCCGCCGGACCGCCGCAAGGGCGTGGGTAAGGTCGAGACCCTCTCCTAGGGTTTCGCTCTGGTATATCATCGGAAAACCCAACTGTTACCATTTTCTTTTTCCTTCGAAATCTGTTTTCGCTCAGGAGAATTGACAAAAAAATATATATATATATATATCTTGCCTGTGTTTTTCTTTCCGCTGCAGTTAAGCTCTGACCTTGTTGAAAATTTACAGTAAAAATTCTGTATTTTTTTTTCCCGGCTATAGTTGCATTTTTTTTTTTTTTGGAAAGTAGTTTCTGTTATTGTTTGTGCTCGTGTGAAAGACCAAAGAGAGTGAAACAAGAACTCTGTGTTCATCGTTCTTCTCATTTGTTCGTGCTAGTTGCTTCACACGTTTTTGAGCCAGATAATTACCAAAATCAGATTTGTTCATTGTTTAGTTGCTGTTTGTTATGTCTGCTGCTAATCAATATAGTATGATCCAATATGGTATGGCTCCGTTCAACGGAAAATCTGATTTTAACATTTGGAAACAAAAAATAAAATGCATCTTAATTCAACAGAAGTCTTTTAGGGCTGTTGGTCAGACTTACCTAACTTCTGACACTGAAGGAAAAAGAGCTGAAATGAACGAAAATGCTTGTTCCACAATTTATTTGAACTTATCTGACTACAATTTATTTGAACTTATCTGACTTTATGCTTAGAAAAGTTAGAATTTTGAAATCTGCTAAAATCCTTTGGGATAAACTTGAAGAACTCTATACTGAAACCTCTTTGCCCAGTAAAATGTTTTTGCTTGATAATTTTTCAAATTTAGATTGGATATGTCTAAGGATATTGAGGAGAACCTAGATGTTTTCACAAAACTTATTTCAGATATTAAGTTAACTGGTGATAAACATATAGACGACTATACTCCTATTGCTCTTCTAAATGCTATTCCTGACTCATACAGTGATGTGAAATCTGCTATTAAATATGGTAGAGATGAGGTTACCCTTGACATTATGGTCAATGGTCTTAAGAGTAAGGAATTAGATTTAAAACATTCTGGGGAAAATAAAAATTCTGATGAGGTTTTGCATGTGAGGGGTAGGCCTCAGAATAGGTCTAATTACCAAAAGAATGCTAGTAATGGGGAATCAAGTAAGAAAAAATTTGAAAATGGAAGAGGTAGATCTAAGTCCAGGTTTAAAGCTAAAAAATGCTATAATTGTCATGAAACTGGTCACTTTATTAAAGATTGTCCTAAGCCTAAGAAAAATCAGCAAAATGAACATGCTAATATGGCTGTCTGTGAGGGCAAAATGGGTGAGATTTTCATGATTAATAATCTGTGTGATTATGCATATTTGAACTCTGTGTTATCTGATCCTTTGTGTAAATCAGATTGGTTAGTAGACTCTGGTTGTACTTTTCATATGACTCCTTTTAAAACCTTGTTTTCAAACTACAAGAAAATAGAGAATGGCTTTGTGTCAATGGCAAATGAAAAGAAATGCAATGTTTTAGGAACTGGTGATGTATGCCTTAGGTTTTCCTCTGGTTCTGTGTTTACTTTGAAGGATGTTAGGCATGTTCCTGATTTACGTTATAACTTGATTTCTTGTGCATCTCTAGAAAATGATGGTTTGGAGGGAAAATGGGGTAAAGGGGTTATGAAAATTCAAAAAGGGTCTCTTGTTGTTTTTACTGCTGAAAAACAAAACAATTTGTATATTTGTCATGCTGAACCTGTGCTTGATTCCGTTAACTCTGTGATAGGTGATAAATCTGTTTTATGGCATAATAGATTAGGTCACATGAGTAATAAAGGATTAGAAATTTTGCATAAAGGAGGTCACTTTGGTAGTGATAAAATATCCCCCATCCCTTTCTGTGAATCTTGTGTGCTAGGAAAACAACATAGGGTTACTTTTCCTACTTCTTCTTTTCCTAATCAGTCTAAGTGCACTAGTGTACTTGAATATTTGCATGCTGATGTGTGGGGTCCCTCTAGTGTGCCTACGCATGGAGGGAACCAATATTTTCTTTCCATAATTGATGATTATTCTAGGAAAGTTTGGGTTTTACTCATGAAACAAAAATCTGAAGTTTTTGATAAATTTAAAAACTGGAAAATTATGATTAAAAACCAAACGGGAAAGAAAATTAAAACTCTTAGGACAGACAATGGTCTTGAGTTTTGTAACAAACAATTGAATGATTTGTGTACTACTTGGGGTATTAAAAGGCATAAATCTGTTCCCTATACACCCCAGCAGAATGAGATTGCTGAAAGGATGAATAGAACTCTCTTAGAGAGGGTGAGGGCTATGTTGGCCACATCTGGGCTCTCCAAGAAGTTCTGGGGAGAAGCTGTTTGTACTGCAGCCTATTTGATTAATAGGTCTCCTTCTGTTCCCTTAGGAGGGAAATGCCCTGAATTTGTGTTCACGGGCAAACCTCTTGATTTAAATAATTTGAGAATTTTCGGGAGTGCTGGCTATGTGCATCAAAAGATTGATAAGTTAGAACCTAGATCTAAGAAATGTGTTTTCTTAGGATATCCTGAAGGGGTAAAAGGTTATAGGCTTTGGAATAAGAGTGAACCGGGGTTTAAGGTAGTGATAAGCAGAGACGTTGTCTTTAATGAAAATGAATTTCCTTGTTTACCTTTACATGTTCCTATTCCTGAAAATGATGCTCCAAATGAGGTGGAGCAAAAGCCTATTATTAATCAACCCAAATCATTTCCTGAAGAAAAATTGAATGATATAATTATTGAAAATCAAGATGAGATTATTCCAAATGAGGTGGAGCATGATATGCAGGAAATAGATAACATGCATGATTTGAATGATTATCAACTCACTAGGGATAGAAATAAAAGAACCATTAGGAAACCTGAAAGATATAGAGATTCCCTATATATGGGTAATGGGTTGGTAGTAGCTTGGGAGAGGGATGAAGAAGAAGAAGAGATGATGAGGTGAAGATTTGAGCTTGAGCTCTCCTCTGATTTGTGTGATCTCTCTCTTTCTGTGAGTTTTGTGCTCCTGTGGGCTTTGTGCTCTCAACCCCTTTGTGCGATCCTCTTTGTGAGTGACGTTTAGAGGAGATCAGTGAACTCTCCCTTTGTGTTCTTGGTGGTGCACTGTGAGAGGAGAACGGGGACTGAGTGGTGCACTGTGAGAGGAGAACGGGGACTGATTGTGCAGACCTCTGAGCCAAACAGCGACAAGATAACTCAACAATGACTCTTAGCGATAGACAGGAAAGTCCAATATAAGAAAAATCTAAGCTGCATATTCATTATAAACATAGTCAAGATCCCACTGGCACTGCAACATTGACTTGCAACTAAGAAATCAAACTGAATTAATGGAAATCTAGGAATTTTCGTACTAGATATTCCAAAAGAAAATAAACAATTTCATCCAACGGAACAGTGCGTACCTATATCCGCAGCAGCCAACCGATAATAGAGATCCTGTCCAGTATCGCCAAGCTGCACAATATCATTGAGCTCCGAAACCCACATTACACACCCACTTCCACCATTACGCACATCAGAATTTGCATATCCAGCACATGAACAATTTCTCAAACAATTAGCTCGGCACTCTCCAAGGCTCATTCCGGCATAAATCTTTGCCACCAGTGAATCAGGCAACAGCACATTGCTCACCTTCATGAATCCATCAGCCCCATTTGCACAATCTAAGTCAGTCTTCCTTATACATCCACCAGATGTATCTCTTTTGGCCCAGTCATCAGGAAACTTTGGTTCAAACCCAGGCAAACACTGGCACACTGGCAAGGAATTTGAATGGCATATAGCATAAGATCCACAGGAATTATATGGATCACATCGACTATCTGGTGTGGACCAAATTAAGTTCCACGCATTAGAACTATCTATCCAAATATAGCGTTCCGTACGGCCAGTATAATTCATTATTATTCTCACTATTGTCGATGGATTGGCCATTCGGTAACTAGCATAAACTTCATCTGTGCTGTTAACAAATGTTAAAATGAAGTCACCATAAGTTTTCAGATCAGGGATGCCATTGAATTCAATACCATTCCACAAGCCTGATCTCCAGCTTTGATCTGAGCCATCAAACTGTGTTAGTTCACGACCTCCACGGATGTCGATAGCAAGAGAAAATGGTCCTGGGGAAGGATCTGAGTCAGATTTCCATGATGTGAGGTTGTGGCTCACATGGGCTTGTAGGTTCCAACCCAACTTCATCCCTGGGAGCAAACTGTCCGTTGGGTAATCAAAGCTTTGCCAGGAGAAGCTATCAGCACTTTTACTGTTAGCGTCTTTAACAACGAAATTGCCAGAATCTAGTAACTGGGCAATAGGATTTTTCACAGTAGTTGAATTCATCGACCAAATGACAGTGGAGTTTTGATCAGTGATGGAAAGAGTACCTTGAGAATTGATTATTAGGCTTGTTGTGTTGCTGGTAATCGGTTTTTCACGGTTGGCAACCCAGACTACGGTTTGTTCTGTAATCTTGTTGTACCAAATGCCAACATACCTGTTGGCTGTCTTCCTGGGGCTGAAGTAGCCTAGAGTAAAGGATCCACCAGCAGAGACTAGCTTTTCGCCATCAGCCAAGGACTGAGTTGGAGTTATGATGTCCCTTGCAAATGAGCGATAGAAATTAGCGGAGACGAGTATTAAAAGCATTATTCTTTCTCTAAGAGTCCCCATGTTGATAACAAACTTCTGCATTCAGTTTGAAGGCTAAATAGAGTCTGGTGGTTCTCAATCATACCTTCAGACATTGCATGCCTTTGCCTGGTCAGAGAGCATTATTTTGATAATCATTTGTAATAATTTACTGAGCAGTCGTATCAAGTAGACCAGAAAAATATAACCCTCTTTTGTTTACTCTTCTGCATTAAAGTTTTGTTGCAGCGGTTTTCTGCCTTGAAGATGTTGATACTAATCTGCAGATTAATTGGTCAAGACGTTGTCTAATGACTAAGAATCCATAAACAACTACAGAAAAATGCAGTATTTCCAGAAACTATTATGGTCAAGATCAGAAGAAATTATTTTATTCCAATTATAAAGGACAAAGAAATAGAGCCGATGAAGGGGATGAAAGGGGAAGACACAGGCTTAGCTTATTTGTTTTTCTGGATTTCCTAAAAGGATGTAATCTTGCTAAGATTCAAAGATGATGTTAATTGAAATATCCACAGCAGCCCATCACATTACGGTCTACCAGTGGGTTAACCTGTTTGTTAACGAAAAGAATCAGTAGTAAATTTCTATACTACTGAAAATGCAGTTGCAAGCACAACATGCATTCATGCTACAACTCTGGCAGGCAGTACCATCTGCTTCAATAACATGAATTTTATGCTTGGTAGAGCCTGGTAGAGCGCATGTGATGATATTTACTTCATAATTTTGGGTTGCTTCATCGAATACTTATATTAATGAAACATAGGGGGTTGATACCCGCCATTTCACTCGACAAAAGAAAAAGAACCTAGCAGAATCCAAGCGCGACCCATGGAAGAGGAACAGATTTCGACAGGTTATTGATGGCAACCCTACTGAATTCAAGAGGGCATATGAATGGGACATACTGCTTATAGGACTTTGATTCAAGGAAGAACAAGGCAGGAGATGACTCAATGATAGAAACACCTAATTAGAAAATGTGCGTCGAGATGAACTGAGTAACAAGCTTGGATAAGCCAGTATTATTATTAATTTACTAAGTACATATCATCATGCTTCCTACTTGATATGAGAATAATCATACAACTTGTTTTTTTTTCCGATTGATCTTATCAATTTACCGTACCAGACTACTCCCCTATGATGACCTCGTATTATGTCCATTAAGTCAACATTTTTCAAATCCTACCAATGCAAATTATGAGTCTAGACATATCTCTCCTTTCAAAGATTGACAAGGCTACAAATTTTTGCTTCCCATGTCTTTTTGGTACACTGTAAATAACTTTTTCACTTTGCATGACAAATCCTGGAGATAAATCAAGCATGTCATTGTTGACACAGTGAATTGAAGGTGAACCACGCTCCAAGGCTCTAATGTCACCAGATAGGGGTTCAGCAAGGCAAAAAGAAACATAAAAACAATACTATAACGCAGAAAATTGGAGTGAGGAGTTATACTAATTTGCCTTAGAAAATATGAAGAGTGAGGAGTTATACCAATTTGCCGTAGAAATATGAATATTATTCTACAAATAGTTACTCCGTCAAAATTAGATAAGAAAAAAATTAAACAAATAAAACTAGCATACTCCCCATATCCTGTAGGACAAATTACTATCTAGATATAGACATGGTAATTGTTACACCATTAACACTGTCCGAGTTCTCCTTCATTGAAGACAAACTTCCTTCTGGAGATTTTTTCGTTGTTAAAAAACCAGGTTGCTTAGGCTCCGGTAGAAATGCATGATCACTACCTAACATCAAAATAACAGAGGACATTGTCGGTCTATCCTCAGGGCACTCTTGGACACATAAAAGTCCCACTTTTAAGCATCTTAAAACTTCACTTGTTGAGAATGAATGACCTAATGATGCATCAACTAGTTGCAATCCGTTGCCTTCTTTCCACAAAGTCCATGCCTGAAATAATTAAACTCCAACATTAGTTTATTGATATCAAGCAGATATCACAATTAATCACTGAATACTTACTTTCCCTAAAAGATACTCCTCGGGCTCAGAGAGATAGACTCCTCTGTTTCTCATGCTGCTTATGATTTCCAGTACTAAAACCCCAAAACTGAATACATCAGATTTAACTGAGAAAATCCCATTCAGAGCATACTCTGGAGACATGTATCCACTGTGTTCAATAAACACTAATTAGATATGATGACTAAAACTCTTGTCGGAAATCTCATTGAATGAGTAATACTTACTATGTTCCAACTACTCTCCTTGTCTTTGTTTTTGTCTCATCCCCTCCGAAAATTCTTGCCAAGCCAAAGTCTGATATCTTGGGGTTCATGTCTCTATCAAGAAGAATGTTACTAGCTTTAAGGTCTCTGTGAATGATTCTGAATCTCGAATCTTGGTGAAGATAGAGAAGTCCTCTAGAAATTCCTACAATGATTCGATAACGTGTTTTCCAGTCAAGTAGCACCACTTTTTCTTTATCTGACCAAAAACAACAGAGAGATAAATATAGAAACTGGTGGGTTTGATCAATTTCATAAGAAAACTTTAAATATGCAAGATCTTTAAGCATATCAGGCTGACATCAAATGCTGTTTGGTACAACATAAAGGAAGCACAAGATGAAATTACAATGTAATAAAAAGACTAGGATTAAAATATTCACATCCGAAAATCTTCAGTTGATGTTAGCTGTTGTACTTCTAGGTGTAGGACGATGTTGTCTTTACAAAGAAACAACCTAAATCTTGAGACATTATCCCAAACAACTGTTTCTGTAACTGATATCAAAGTTATAAGTTTTCTGCATATGGATTGCACTGTTTATTCTTCAACAGCAGAATCTCCCTCTTGCAGCACATTGGAAGAATGATGATGACGATGTATGAGATAACAACACCAACAACAATAACATGAAATTCTTTGCTTAATCTAAACAAATTTGACCATCAGTTCACTTTTCCTTCTAGCTTATCTCATCTTTAATAATAGCCATCCATGAAATTCATAAAAGGCTCCAATGCCATGAAAAAGTTTAGCTGCACTTTTTCTAAGAGCAAACTAATACTTTTAATGCCGAGTTATGACAAGATGGTCACTCTAATCATGAAGACCAGTAACACATGGTGAGATGATTCGCATTAAAATGATACAAAGCACTAAATAACTCAGGAAAGAGCATCTGATAACGGAGGATTATAGAAAAGCAAAGCTTTACCAAATAAGAAGGCATCTAAGCTCCTGTTTGGCATGTATTCATATATCAATATCCTTTCATCCCCTTGAATGCAACACCCCAGAAGCCTCACCAGATTCCGATGCTGGAGCTTGGCCACTAACATTACTTCAGTCTTTAGCTCATCCAACCCCTGTACTGAGGTCTTGGAAAGCCTCTTGACAGCTATTTACTAGAATCAAATTTTGCTTCCCATACAGGATTTAAATCAAGACAATGTCAATGAAAGAAAACAGTTGCATATTTTTACCATATAAACAGGACCAAATCCACCTTCTCCAAGCTTGTTTCTGTCGGAGAAATTACTCGTTGCTGCCTCTATGGCTACCAAATCAAATAGAGGTAACTCCATTTCATCTTGTTCAGTATTTTCTGCAATTCTTTCTTCACTGATGGAAGTAGTTCCTAGTACAAAATTGTGGTGATTATCAAAACATGTGGTCAAAATTATAATAGTTTTTTGGATATAGATAATTAATGAAACCGTTTTTTAGCTATTCGTCCATCACAACATCATATTAGGATATTAGTCGCTCATATTACTTAGCTCACTTGATATTTAATCACTCCGCTACTTATTTGCTCAGGATCAGCGATCGTTATTAAATATTAACCCCTCCGCTACTTATTTGGTCAAGAACTCATAAGCAATCATAATTTGAGACAAATAATACTGTCAAATACAGCCATCAACTTCACAAATATTTTCCAGCCTCTGTGCCAACCGATAAATTTCTCCAAGTGATCCTTAGGGGCAAGTTTCCCTTTCCCAAAAAATGATCAGTAGAAGAGAAAATCAGAGCAAGAAGGGAATATTGGAGTTGAGAAAGTGAAATTCAACCAACTGAAACTTATAGAAAAACTAAAACAGAAACTCTTCTATCAAGATGGAGCTAGAAGGGAAAGAAGAAAGAAGGCTGCCAAGTGGAAAAGAAGAGGGTAATAAGGTACAAAAAGAAAAAAATAGAAAAATAGAATATTCTTCATTATGGAGTGAATTATTAACTGGAGAGTTTTTATCAAATGAGGCGCATAGGATAGGGCACTATAAGTAATTATGATAGACCAAGGGTAAAATATACAAATAAGAATGTTATGCTAAAAAAAATTGAAATAAGAATTGTTGAGGATTATATCCTAAACTTGTTAATTAAATATTGTTGACATGATAAAGAGTGAGCATCAAGATGCCTTCTTACCTCTAAACTGCTTCCTCCGCCTCCATATAAAATAGATAGCACTAACAAGTAGCAATACTGTCCCCAAGATTACACTTAGCACTACCGCTAATATTGGGTGTCCACTGTTTTGAGATATTGAACCTGTAAACCACCATCTTAAAAACATTACTCATTGCCTCAATTCTATGAGAAACAACTTATTGAATTTCTAACCATTTATTTCCACAGGCTGGTTAATGCGAGAACCTAAACCTTGAAAATAAAATATGAAAAAAGTACCCAAAAAAGGAAATGACAATGCTTCCGAGGAAATGGAACAAGACTCGATACACCAGTATACTAGACATTTTAACTGCTTGCACACATCTTATTAACACTTCAGCCAATAGCAAGTTGGCCAGATATTCTGTTTACTGAAGCAGTACTAGATCTACTCATTAGTGTCCCTTATCCTTTTGAGCATAAGACAAATACTGAGAGAAAAAACCTTACACTGCCTCTTTCTATGAAGAAGGTGCAGGCATTATTCCTTTATCACAGTTAAAGTATTACAGTACTTTCTTGTCAGCTTCCCCTACCGTTCTAAAACACCTTCCATGCAGTTTCTGCATTGGGTATACAAGGCTTACTAAGAAATAAAATTAGTTCATGGACTCTAAATGACTAGGTGTAGTTAATAAGATAGGGA